GAAGCCGTCTGCGACTCTGCGTCGTGTTCGCAATCGAAACATAAAGCCTCCGCTACAATGATTCTCGGTTCTGTCTACAATGGTCGTAGTCGTAGTCGCTCGATAAGAATTGACCAATCGCAGTCGATTATTCTTACGACTACGACCATTGTAGACAGAACCGAGAATCATTGTAGCGCAGGCTTAATTGATTCTCTGTCTCCTCTTTAGAGAACAGGATAGAAAAAGCTAGGGAGCCGACTGAACTCTGGTTAACAGCTGACCAACGTTTGTGAAGTTGGCCCTTAATGGTTTAAACAATAACGTTTACATAATAATGGTACGATTGTGGTGCACGAGTTGTACGAGGGTCGCCTTCGGATGTTACGAGGCGGCCGTTTGACGTTTCGTCACGCAGAACGTGTTCGATGCCGTGCTCTCTCGTGCCTCGTAGGATCGTCGTGTTTGCACGCGTCCGCCGAACTCTGGCTCTGTTATTGAACGGTGTTTTTCATTGTTTGGCCGAATCGTCGCTGTCGATCTCAAAACACCAATAATGGCTTCGTCGTGTATCGATCAAACCGTAATCCCTTCAGGCGACTTGACGAAGGTGATGTTTACAGGTTACGCGCCCGGCGAGCTGGCAGTCTCGCGGCGACGTCGGTGCTGGACGACGCAGCTCTGAATACCGCGGACGGGAGACAGCTATCCATTTCTGAAAGTCAGCTGCGAACAAATCGAACATGGTGATTTTCATTTTAATCTCGCTCCAACCAACCTTACGTCGCGCAGTTGCTGGAGATTTAAATTGTCTTTCTAAAATATTAAAGCGGTAATTGGTTTAATCTTGATCCAATCAGCTTCGTCGCGCGTTCCTTTTTAATTCCGTACTTGAAGTTACTTTAAATTGCTAGAAATTTTGACAGTCTTAAATTTCTAAAATATTAAAGTGGCAATTGGTTTAATCGTGATCCAAGATACTTTGTCGCGCATTCCCTTTTCATTCCGTACTTAAATTTATTTAAAATTGCTAGCAATCTTGTCTATCTTTCCAATATATTAAAATCACTTTGATATTTAAAAAAACTGTGCAAGCAAAAGCGTATGCCCTGTGCACGCTCGTCTACTTGGAGGGTAAAACTGTCGTGACAATCCCCATTTTTTTTCTTTCCCACAGGCATCCACGTCCAAGAAACCGAAAACGGATGCCCAAGAAACCAAGAGCAGCGCCTCCAACAAGACTGTCTCCAAGATAAAAAGCCCTGAACTGGATGCCAAGTTGGCCGATGTAAGGGAAGCCTTCGATCTGTTCGATCCGAACGGCACTGGAAAAATGGCTACCAAGGATCTTAAAGTTGCCCTTCGAGCCCTGGGATACGAGCCGACGAGGAAAGAGATACAGACACTCGTGGAGTCCGTTGCTCCAGAATGCCCCAATGAGTTGTCCTACGAGGAATTTCACAGAGTGATAAAAATCAAAGTGTCAGAGGAGGATTGCATAACCGACATAATAAGGGCGTTTCGTCTTTTCGACGACGACAAGACGGGGAAGATATCCTTGAAGAATCTGAAGAGAGTTGCGATCGAATTGGGAGAAGATTTGACCGACGAGGAGCTGCTGGATATGATCGATCAGGCAGACAAGGATGGTGATGGGCAAATATCGCTAGATGAATTTGTAACAATTTTTAAGGAAATGTCGTGTCTGTAAACGTCGATGTTCGTAACTTAAACTTCGCATTAAGTTAAAACTGCACATCTACATCAAACGTTAATTCAGACGACGCATATTTAAGTTAATAACGTGTATACTGTATTTGTATATTTTATACGGAAGACTGATGTTTAAACGAAATTATCTCTCGGTATTTGTCAGCGACATTTTTCGTAAATGTTTTATAATGTGTGAAAATAAGTAGCATTAACATTTTGTCATTATCTGATTCGTCCTTTTTAATCGCGTTTCCCTAAACTTTTACCTTTCCACCTCTTCTCCCCCGTGCAAATCGTCAACACGGTTCAAGGGGTGTTTTTTATTGCTGCACTCCTGAACTAGTGCACACTGGTGCAATGAGCTGGAATGAGAGGTAATCTATTTGTTTCATTTTAACTTATTGCACTAGTTCAGTAGTGCAGTAATAAAGAACAGGCCTAATTTCAAATTTATAAGATGCAACTGAAAGATGTAGACTATATAGCTATCGATATTTTATCATATTCCGTTTACTTATCTAATGTAAGAAGTGAGCTAGTTAACAAATAGTCGAGTATTTATTTATATTATATTATTTACATTCAGCGTCGAGATGGCAGCGTCGATTACCGATCTGACCAGCTTCGCTCTCGCTTTCGCCATTTCCAATCCTTTGGAAAGTAGACTCTGAGAGATTGAAATTCCACCTGTATTAAATTTAGAATCACTATTATACGAGATGCATAACTCGATAACAATAGAATCACGCAGAGCCTATTCAAGTACGGTCCTGGTTAGAAAGGTTGGCCGACGTTTTGCAATAAGTTTTCGGAACATTCGTATTATCGCGTAGATATTGGTATTAATTCCTTTGCTCTAATAATGCGTCACTGCACATATTCGTGAGCAAAAGCTGAATCTCTCGCAAGATTGACTGCATTTCCAACAATTTATCACAAAACGTTGGGCAATGTGTACACTGTATTTGTATATTTTAAACGGAAGACCGATATTTTCACGCAATTATCTTTCGGTATTTGTCCGAGACATTTTTCGCAAATGTTTAATAATGTGCAAAAATAAGTAGCATTAACGTTTTGTCATTAACATTTGATTCATTCTTTTTAATCGCGTCTTCCTCAACTTATATCTTTCCACCTCTTCCCCCGCACAAATCGCGAACACAGTTTAATTTCAAATTTATAAGATGAAACTAAAAAAATGTAGACTTTCTTTCCGGCCACGACTATACAAATGATTCACGCAGTGTTACTGTATTTTCACAAACATAAAGTACGCACCAGGCTTATGTACGTAGCAGAGCTCTTCTTCGTCGTCCATCACGATAGAGAATCTTCCCAACGACAAGTCCTCCTCGTCGTCCGTGGGATCAACTATCAACAGTTGTCTGCGAACGCAAGTAGACGAATCAGGAAGGCGAGATACACACTAGGTGTCTGTTACAATGAATTAAAACTGACTTATCAAATACCGCAAACGATGTGGAAACCGGTAAGGTCCTTACGGTAAACGTCTTCCTATTTTTCGGGTGTACGACAGTCACGTCGGTCTCCTTGTTGTAATTTACCTCGGGCAGGGTCACTGCAAAAGAAATTCTCTCTTCCAGTACGAAAAGGCAATCGGAGGGATTGGATATTGCCACGTGTTTCCCGGGCACTTACGCGTTTTGAGTGCCGCCATCAGTGCTCCGGTGCAAGCGTCTATGACCGACCCATTGTAATTCAGACACAGGAGGTCGCAGTACAAGACCCACACCAATTTACCTCTGCAGATGCAGAGGTCTTGCAGGTTGAGCGCCGCCGAATTGTTCAAAATGATGTCTATCGATTTCGAGAGCACCTGCGCCTGCTCGCTCGGCGGGCCCGGGCGAAACTTGGAGGAGCACAGAGGGGACAGTTCCACGTTCGGTACCACGTAGCCGCGATCTGGAGTATCCGCCTTTGGCGTCGCAAATTCCTGAGGCAATATCAATTAATCGTCGCTTTAACGGTGGGCTCGTCTTCTGTCGCTGCATTGGCAAACCAGCGCAGTAAGCTGGATCGAAAAATGTACTTGTCTCGCTCTAATTTATTACACCAGTTCAGCGCAGCGATAGAAAACAAGCTCAGCGTCGTACACGCAAACACATCTGTTACATTAACTTTCTCAAGTAATATGCGTGCGTTTTCAAGGACATGAAAATATGTGAACATTGCGAGGCGCGCTTACAGCCTTAATACCGCAGACCACAGTTGTGTCGCCCAATTTGAATATCGCCGAGCTGTCCGCTTGCACGATCGACGAGACGTTTACGCTCACCGGGCGAAACGACAAGAACTTTCGGCCGTCCGTCCGTATGTCTTGCTCCTGCAAATGTATAGAAGATTTTGTGTAATATGCTTCTCTTCGGTCGGCACGTGCAAGATACTTACGAGGTGATCGTGCAGATATTTCACAGGATGGATCGTTCTGCAAACAAAGTGGATAATAAAGTACCATTCGAGACGAAATAAGCGTTACAGTCTTTTGCAAGCTAGGTATAAATGTTTTCTCGCGAGACACGAGAATCTACTTCTTTTTTCATTGTCTCGAAGGGAAAAGATTTCTATCTATCGCGCACTCATTAATTGAAATAAGTAGTTTGAAACACGAGAACGCACTTGTATTGCAAATCCATTTTTGTGTGAATTTTCAGCGACTGAACTCGACGGCTTCTTCGCTCGACAATTGCGGCTGGCGTGTTGCTTGTCAGATGAAAATAAGACGGCGTGGTTATAAAAAGTTAAAAAGGGGGTAATGTTTACAAGCCGGGAACACGAGTGAAGTTTCTTCTCGGCTCGAAACGTATCTAAATATTCGTACATCGATACATCTACTCCGTCTGTTCTTTTTGGCTAAACTGGCTGCGCTAGTTCACAGTTTATCTTCTTCCCTCTGCATTGGAAAGAGGAAGGTAAACGCTGAATTAGTGTAACCAGTTCAGCTAAAAAGTGCACAGATGGTGCAGATCCTTCGACTGTGGCTTTGACTGTAAACTCGTATAGATAGACAACTTGTCTCCAAGGGGAACCAAAGCAGGGGGTCCAAACCACGGAGTCCGAAATTCCCTTTCACGAACATGCAATTTTAGCGTCGATAAATCTCGGGCTCGATCGTGAATTTTTTCTGCACAAAAAAAGAAAAATTAAAAATGCCGCTTTATAAAGAATCGAGGTTACCTAACCTCGATCAATTATAAAGTGAAAGCTTACGGTCGATTATTCTTAAGCGTGGTCTACAATGCGAGTCAGGGTGCCGTCACATGCAGCGTAATCTGCGTAAGCGTATTCTGCGTATTCTAGTAATTTAAGTAAAAGTTACGCCATTCTAAAAGTCGGCATTCACATGGAGCGTATTTTGCTGAATTGCGTAAAATGCGTAACTAATATAACCAATAGCTGATTAGAGTTTCTCTTGTATACGATAACAGAAATGCTAAACGAATTTGTGATTGGTTATTGTAACCTACGCGTCTCGCAAAGTACGCTTCATGTGAATGCCGACTCACAGAGTCGTAGTCGTAAGAATAATCGACTGCGATTGGTCAATTCTTAAGCCTCCGCTACAATGATTCTCGGTTCTGTCTACAATGGCCGTAGTCGTAAGAATAATCGACTGCGATTGGTCAATTCTTATGCGACTGACTGAATTGACCAATCGCAGTCGATTATTCTTACGACTACGACCATTGTAGACAGAACCGAGAATCATTGTAGCGGAGGCTTTACGCGAGCCAATCGAATGACCGCGATGCTTCACGAACAGACCAGCGGCGATAACCGTCGGCCCCCGCGATACTACGATGATTGGTCAATTCTTATGTGTCTGACGAAATTGACCAATCGCAGTCGATTATTCTTACGACTGCGACTCGCTTTGTAGACCACGCATTAAGGCTCGTTCACAGTCAATTCTTATGTATTCGACAATCACCCGAAATATCTCTCGAAATATTTCGTAGCCGGTAAAATGATCTGTACTTGCGCGAATCCGCGAACGTGTACGCGAATATCCGTGTATGTGACGCGCGTAAACGTGTAGCCCGCGTATACCTCAACAGGGAAATATTTTGAGAATTATGTGACAAAGTCTGGATAAAACTTGGAACGCTGGAATTATGCGCGTACATATGTCGAACAACATATGCAGAAACGGAGAAACTTTCATCAAATTTTCATAAATATTTGCGCACGTATCACACACACACACACGGATACGTCACATACACAGGTACACGTGAACGAAGGTACCTTAAATTCGTGCACATGGATTAACGTGTACCCGCGAATCTTGAAAACGCGTATCCAATCGAGGGCTCTAAAATAAGCGCGCACTTAAATTCACACGTCCGTTGGAAAAGACAATCGACGAATTCGCGGCTCTCCTCTACGGTAGACAGCCATTCCACGGCCATTCTCTTTCCGCATCGCCAAGTGCACACTACAAGAAACGAAGAAGACGTCAACGACAGGATCACGCACGTAATTCCGTGCCGTTCGTACCGCAATTCGAAGGCCAACGCGACGCACGTTCGACTACGGCGCGGCTCGCCGCTCGTCTGGCTCGAGCCGCCGCGCGCCGCAGTGACGTCACTCGAGCCGCCGCGCGCCGCAGCGATCGTCGCTTGTTTGTCTCGAGCCGCCGCGACCGCTACCACGCTCCGGGGTCAAGGAACTTTCCATTCGCCGCAATATCGTTCGGGCCGCCGTGCCGGTACGTACGCTACGGGGTGATGTGCGCGATTATTCCCTGCGAAATTAATCGACACCACGGCGAGCGATAACTTGTGATACGGGAAGCGGATACGTCGGATCGCCGCCTACCGTTCGCGCTCGCTCTTCCTTCTATGTAATTTGAATACAGGAGAGCCGCGAGTGTGTCGATTGTTCATCGGTAAAAGACATGTGAGTTTACGCGCTCGTTTGAGATACACCGCGCGAGTGATATTACAGTGGATATTCAGATCGCGTCGCCGACTCGACTCGCATAGTATCGCGCAGTAGCGGTGGGGGTGGCTGCCGGTTAACGGCACCATGTTGGCCTGTTCGAGAAGCATCGCGAAGTGCCGCGGACGCGCAACGGACCCGGTCTCCTTCGTCGACGGTCGTCGCGACGCTCTTCGCGACGCTGGTGAGTTATATCGCTTAAGTTGAGCGATCGCGGCGTAGACTATTCAATACTCACGCGTCGGCGATCCACCGAGACGCGTAAATCTCGCGGAAACCACCCCTCCCCCCCCCTCGGCCGTGATCTTCGTCGCAGCCCTGGATCCTCGCGGCGCCGCGGGTGTACAGAGCTCTCGACTCTCTCGTTTAGAAGCACCCGAGTTTTCCGCGCGTAACGCGAGTGAAATGTTGACGCGAGATCGCCCCGTTGAACGCTCGCGTGCGGTTTGCGAGACGCGTCCGAGGCCTCGCGTATCCCCCGAGTTCCCGCCGTTTCGTGCGACGCCATCGCGGCGGCTCGTGCGCCCGCGCGCGAGTGTATCTCTTTTTTTCGTCTTTCGTTTTTTCGTTGTA